TAAACTACAGCCCACAGACAACACACTTTTTGAGGAACAAACAGTAAACATGTAAATATTTTTTACAATCCTATATATGTTTCAAACTCTGCCATGAAGTGGGATCTTTTGATTTTAGAAATCCGGTGATCACCTAACCATCATTATTGTTAATGCTTGAAGAGCAGTAAGCATGGTGATGGTTAAACGCAAAGATTGTTTTGTTACACTAACCAGATAGAAGTGTCTATCCACTGCCTTCAATCAAATGTTCCCTTATTTTATTTCCTTTTTCTATTCTGTCACTGTTCAGAATCAGATTTGATCGTATTCTTCGTCTTTAAGACCCATCCTACATTTATCTCATTTACACCAGCACCACTCATCTCAAGGTTGTTTTTTTACCATTTTGGGAACATTAGTGTACCTGTTGAAGTGTCCATGTTTAGTTTAACACCAATGTGTGTGTTTCTGTTTACTAGTTTGAGGAGATCTTGGAAAACTATTATGATATTTAATTAGGTTCACATTAAACCTCTTAAGCCTACATTAAATATACCCAGACTTTTAAATCATGGTGTTGGAAAGTCATAATAGCAATTTTTTTCTGTTTGTCACACACATTGGAACATATTTTTGTTTACGTTTGTCTGTGTGTACGCCTTTCATCTGTCTTTTCCTTGTGTTTTTTTTCTGTGGTTTTAAAAATGTGCCTTTTACCAAACAGAATTTTCCTCAATCTTGTCGCTAATTTGTATCGATTATTTCATTATAAGTGCCTTTCTGGAAACAATCGAAATGTATAAAATGTAAACCTATGTCCTCTTGTAAATAAACAATATATTTCATTGACTCTTGTATTCAATTTTTATTGGTGAACTGTTCTGCTTGTGAGATTGAGAGAGATGTTCTCCAGGGCTCATGTTACACATTTCAACTCTTCAAAGCTGCAGTATTTCTCAGATATCAGTATGATAGAGTACTGCACCAATTTAGCGTACTTAGTTACCTCAGTTATTAACAGCATTATCTAAGAGGATTGTCTAAAAGTCCAGATTTTTTCTTTTAATGATATGGATTGGATTTAACTTCAGGAAGGTTTCCACAGCTGTGTCCCATTTATTTTCATTGTGAGTGAATTGCAAAAAATGAGCCACTACTTTGAAAAACCTAAATGTTGTAGGTTTTTGAGGACTTATAGGAGTTATAATATAAGATAATTTGAGCATATTTAGTGCAAATAGCTACATGGTTCAGGCATTAAAGAAGTAAGCGTCATTAAATATATTTCTAATTTAGTAGTGGAAGAAGCACTTATTATATTTTATTTAAGTTAAAATTGAAATATCACAACATAAAAACAATCTGTTAACAAGAAACAACAGTCCTGTATTCAAAGTCTTTCCAACTACTGCTTTCAAAATATACCTTCAATTCCAGTTAGTATTCATTATGCAAAATGGCTCACGACTTCTCATAACTTATTTCTTACTCTACTTGTTTATTTACAAAAATATTTGAAATAAAGATCCAATCTACTTTGTTATACTGCTGAGCATCTACATCCTTATATGACTTGATCATTTATCAGTTGGTATATATTTTTATTAGAATAATTTGACTCAACGTTCTAGTAAATGCTGTTGTCAAATAAATGTAGTGCAGTGAAAAGTACAATATTGGCCACCAAAAGGTAGCTGAGCAGAAGTAAAGGAAAAACTCAGTTAAAGAACAAGTACCTAGAAACAGTTTTAAATTACATTCTTCTACTACGCACTGGGTGTTATGTTAAAATATGGTGTTCCTTGCATTTTGAGCCTCGCTTGGGCTCAAGGAATTGTTTTAATCTATAATTCACAAGCATTTGTATAAAAAACGTGTTTATTGATGGGTTTCATTCCAACGGTGTTGACAGAAACGAGCTGATGGCAGCAGCCTCGTGAGAATAGACTCAGTTAACAGGCTGATGCTCGACTGGAAGTCCCTCCCCGGAAAAAGCATGGAGGAAGATTTCAGAGGAAGGAGACACTGATGGTAGGCTTCATTTAAAACTGCTGAATGAGGATTGTTTCTGCCTCTGTAATGTTAAAACCCGCTCAGAAGAATGGAGGGACGGCAGGATAACAACCATCAGACCTATCTGTCGAGGTGAGGCTTTAAATCAAACAGGGAAGTGGACGTTTTCACCGCGTTTACAATAACATCATGTGGGTGAATGGCGCTACATAAGGCTTTATAATATGGGTAAGCAGCGCCATTGTGTCTGGGTATAATAGTATCCGCTGCTGGAAAACCCTTCAAACATGATAGTTAAGTTTGCACGGATGCTACACAGTTTAACATACAATCCTCCTCTTCCTTCTCCTCCTCCCGCCTCCAACTCTTAAGACTTTTGAAAACTTGGGCGTGTCTTTAGGATGCATTTTCCTTATGTGTTTTAGGATAAAGAGGATGCTGTGTTAGTATCCGTTGAAGTGTGAAAGGACAAAACCAGAAGAGGAAGCAATTAAGAATGACTGTTTATTCAGCATTTGGTTTGTGTATTGCTGCATCAGGTTGTTGTAAATGCTCAAGCTGTTTGGGCTAAATTCAGTTGATTTTTGGTCTGTGGGGAAACATGAAAGATCAACAGGTGTGTGTTTCATCAGATTTTCAAAAAGCCTCAAATCTCTCTCACACTGTAAAAATCAGTGGCCAGCTCAAAGCCAGCTGGGGGCGCCACAGATAGTAAAGCAACTAAAAACTCAGTAGACAAAAAACTTCTGGCTCATGTTAATGGATAAATTCATCCAGCCTCATCATATTGCATGGACAAACAAGGTGAATGTTCAGCAGTTTGTCGGTAATAATCCAGAAGCACTGACTGTAGACTATGCATGTTAAAGGCAGCTTTAATGCAGTGCTGGGGGTCTGGCCTTGACACAATGACCCTCTTGTCTGTAACTATGACAATCCAAACACAAGCAGTGCACTGTAGTACCCCATGTTTCAAAATAGTGTCATAGTTTCACATCCACATGGCTACAGACTCTTTTGACAATCAGTATGTGGATAACTCAGTTTTTATCTTGAGTTTGTTTTATTGAAACGTGTTTATAGCCCCTTGTGGTTTAAAGACATTAAACATGATTCAGGTTAATGTTGCAGGTTTGTTATACTATTAGTGGAGAGCGGGGTCAGCTTCAGCTAGAACAATCGTCCTCCAATCAGATACAACCGACTGCCCCTTCACTTCCTGTGCCTAAACAACAATGTAAAACCACATCAACACATTTTGAGGGCTTTAACTAACAAATATTTTCATTATCATTACATCTGCTGTATATTACCTTAATTACTCTCTTGGTCTGTTAAATGTCAGACAAAAATGAATAATGCCTACTTTGTTATATAGATTATATATTATAGCTGGAACAAGATAATAACTGGTTAAAGATAAATTATTAAAATGATTAATATATGATCAAGAACATTTGCAATTGATTTCCCTAGAATAACAGATATCTGTTTAAACTTTACAGTATTGTTGAATAAAGGCAGTGGTGCATTTGAGTATGGTTCAAGATAACTACCTTTGGTTAGCTCTCTGAGTGGCTGCCAACAGATTCATACTTGCGGATAAGTATTAACCTCAGAGTCTGAGGGATGTGTTACAGTAAACATCCGTAAAGTTGTTTAGATTTTACCTTGAATTTAAAGGTCCAGCGACAGTTTTGATATGATCAGAGGTGGGAAGTAAAGTAAATTTACTACTGTACTTAAGTACAATTTTGAGATACTTGTACTTTACTTGAGTATTTACATTATATGCTATGTACTTCTACTCCACTACAATTCAGAGGTAAATTGTGTACTTTTACTCCACCACATTTATTTTGTACCTTTACAGTAGTTACTTTACAGATTTGGATTAATTATGTGAAATATAATCAACACCTAAATAAGACTTTAGTTGCACCTGGAGTAAATTCACAAGCTACCCTGTAGTATAAAAAGTAATTCAAACATGCTGCACCTTTACCAGCTTTGATAACACTTAATGCAGAAATAATTTCAATCAAGACATATAATAATATATGAATCTGAAATGGACCAATGTGCATAATAAATTGTTTTACTTTTGGTACTTTAAGCATATTGTGATGCAAATACTTTTGTACCTTTACTTGAGCAACATTTTGAATGCAGGACTCTTAGTTGTAACAGAGTATTCCTACATTCTGGTACTTCCACTTTTACTCAAGTACAAGAACTGAGTACTTTCCCCACCTCTGGATATGATATAAAATCTGTTTTAGCTCTGTTTTTGGTCTCCACCATGTCCTGAGGAGATATCTGGCTCTTTAGCTGCTAAATGCTCCAAATATGTTCACCAGCTCATTTTCTCACATTCCCACATTCCATTTCAATAAATGAATATCAATAACAATTAAAGTTATTGGATTTTGAAAGTGTCAACTTGCATTATTATGATATTAAATGATCATTATATCAATGACATAGCCAACACATGTTTATCACCATTATGTGAAAATATGGTCAAAAGCAGTTTTTACACAGGGCCCTAAAGCTACAGAGTGGACTGTTGATTCTCAGTGGAATGTGGAGCATTAGCACACAGGATGTGTGCTACTGCTAACCCTTTAGGTTTTAACCTATGGTTTTAACGAATTGCAAAATGAGAACACAGTCATAAATGATGAAGAATAAAGTATTTTTACTGATTTGTTTTTCAAGAATTTGACCTGATATCCCTACTTTTATTATTTTGTTATACTTTGACTAACATTCCACCCCTACAACAATAAAAGACGATGGTGAAAATATCTTAAATGTATTTCCTACTATCTTATTGGGTTTATAAAGTTTTCCTTGGGCTTCTCGCTGTTGTGCATCTGAATAGCACTGTGGTCTGTTCGGAGTGTGAGCAGTGAGAGTGCAGGTGGAGGGGTGTGAATCTTAAACCCTGTTAATCCTGCTGCCCTCAATCTCTGCCTGTCCGCACCGGAGGTGGAGGAGGAGGGGGAGGAGGAGGTGGTAACAGGACGGTTTACACTCCGCTCCTCGGCGACCAAACTTTGTCCGAAAAAACACAAATCATGCGTCTCCGGGCTGTGAACGTCACTACTTTATCGCACCAGCAGGAACAGCTCAGTTTGTGAAGACGTCACATTTATTCACTCGGAGTTAATCCTGCGCGCTTGAGGGTTTTAAATATCCGCTGCGATGAGCGCTGCGGAAAACGCAGACACCGACTCCAACAAACTGGAGTCTGTGATACAGGTGAGCTGCACCGGGCCTTCCTCCACCGGGCCGTCCTCCACTCCATACAGTGGCCTAATGCTGTGTGTGTGTGTGTGTGTGTGTGTGTGTGTGTGTTGTGTGTGTTTGTGGCAAATAAAGCTGTTGGTGTATGGTTTGGTTCATATTTCATCATGCAGCAGTTTTGATGAGTGGCAGCATAGGTTTTGTGGCACTTATCAATTAAATAATTAGGCTATACTTCTGATTAGTTTTTTATTGTTGTCATTGCCTGTATATGGAGGTTTTTGCATGGTATTTTTCTTTCTTTAAATGCATCAAAGGTAAAGCATGGACTCTGTGTGTTTTTTACATCAGAGGCTGGAGGAGAGTGTGTTGTCTGAGGAGAAGAAGCTGACGGTCCGGGGCCCTTCACCAGACGGCCCCCCCACATGTCTGCCAGCAAGAGTACGAGAGATTGTCACAAAGAACCTCAACGAGAACTGTGAGTGGCTCCCATCTGCTCTCCCGTTATATCAAATGTATGTCTTTGACCTTTTGTATTTGCCTCACTGTTGTCTCTGCCTGCCCTGTCTCTCAGCAGCCGGGGCCATGTCCTCCGTCATGTCGCTGCAGGAGGAGAACCGGGTGCTGCAGGGCGAGCTGGGCCGGCTAGAGGACCTGCTGGCTCACAGCCGAGCCGACCGGGACGAGCTCGCCATCAAGTACGGTGCAATCAGTGAGAGGGTAAGACACCAGCACAATCACTCTAAATCAAAATAGAAACAGTGAGTTGGGATTTATAAACCGTGACGCCCCCTAATCAAAGGTCATGGTTGGTGACCCCTCTCCACTCTGTATCAAAAGTAAAATCCTCAAAGTTATAATGTCTTACGGGAATGTTGTGGCACCTTCCTGTTTTCCCCATTTCAGTATTTTCCTGATCTTTCTTTGTCTGAGATTTTCGGGTCTCCCAGGTGACGGGGGCTGGAATTAACTGAAGTGGAATGTTGCCATGGTGTCTGTCACCCTGGGCAACTGTAAACAGGGTCTTCAGTGGTGTAGTGGTGGGTGGGCGCAACACAATCTGCTTTTGGGATGAACATTACAAAAGACAACTCAGAAATTCACCTTCAAGGTTCTCAAATGGTTCAATAACTGTTTTAAACATGATATTACTGGCCATTTCACACTCCCTATGTTAAATGTCAGGGAGGTAGTGCAGAAGATGTTCCATATACTTTTAGTATTTTTCAATTGTAGTTTAAAAAATACACTTTTAACGTACGATACAATAATACTTTAATGTCAGATCAAGTCTGAAATGTTTCTTGCATCACAGCAGCTTCATATGCAACATCAAAAAGGACACATATTTCAGATAAGATGACATAGAACAAACAACAAAACAAAACATCTGAAGAGTAAAAAGCTCAAGACCCTCTTGCAAGGTTTGACCTGGGATTTACCCCTACAGTATGTATCTATGGATTGACTGGTGCTTTAGTGCACTCTTATTAAATCGCGGGACTGTATCTCCGATCATTGTTACAATTCGTATTCAATGTTCAGGACATAGTTGGGGTCAGCCTCAATATGTTATTATGGTAGGTTAATTCAAAGAGTCTCCCAAAAGGTTCACATACAATCTTTGAGGTCCCCCTTTTGGACATGATTCATTTAGAATCACATACATTTTTGCATAAAATAGGGCAGCAGTTACTTGAAGAATAACGTGTTGTCCTCAGTATCTACACTACTAAGTTTGACCCTCACACACAAAACAGCCTGAATTTAGTTCATATTTTCCAGTATCTGCTGCATGTGTAACTCTCTTAAATATCATGCTGCAGCCACAACATGCAGAAATGATTTCTGTAAGTGCATGCATTTAACATGTAAATGTTGCAGTTGATCATGTTCATTTAACTGTGAGAAGCCGAAATACTTGTTAGCGATTAATACTCAATTACATGTGCAGCCCTTAAAGCTTAATAGAAAGCACCAGAACAGATGCTAATGGACCTCGTGGTGTTTCTTTTCTGTTTATGAGGTCAGGAATGAACTGAAAATCTCGAACACACAGTATTTGTATATCATAATATTATGGTGGCACATCCTCTTACTTTAAATCAAACCCACAGCTGGAGCAGGCGCTGCGTTTCGAGACAGGAGACAACGACCACGATTCGCCGGACTCTCGCAGCCTGGCGCAGCAGAATGTGGACTTGCGGCGGCGGCTGGACGAGGAGCAGGCGGCCTACAAGCGTAAACTCACTGCGTACCAGGAGGGTCAGCAGAGGCAGGCACAGCTCGTGCAGAAGTTGCAGGCCAAGGTGGGGATTTTTTTCCTCTGTCTTTATCTGAGCTGAAGTCATCCATGGTGTTAGAACTTCGTAACAGCTTTCTAGTTTCTTCAGGTACTGCAGTACAAAAAGAGATGTGGGGATCTGGAGCAGATGGTGCAGGAGCGCTCGTCAGAGTTGGAGAAACACAGGGTGAGTGTGAGTGGCGTTCATTGATTTTAGAGCACTTTAACTTTCCACATGTAACACTTAAACTGTCGTCTCATTCAGAGCCACAGTGAATCCTCAAATGGTCGGCATCAAGACGACTCAAGCAGCAGCCTGGAGGATGCTTTAATCCGTCTGGAGGAAGAACAGCAGAGGTGACTGATTACATCAAATTAATCAAACTTTCACATTGTTGATGCCTGACTTGCTCTCTCTACATGTTTTGTTTTTCCCTTGTGTGTTTGCAGGAGCAGCAGTTTGTCTGCGGTGAATGCCATGCTGAGAGAGCAGCTGGAGCAGGCTGGGTTGGCCAACGAGGCTCTCAGCCACGACATCCGCAGGCTTACTGCTGATTGGACGAAAGCCAGGGAGGAACTGGACCAGAAGGAGTCTGACTGGAGGAGGGAAGAAGAGGTGGAAAAGGGGTTGTTTACAAAACAGTGCAACATTTGAGAAAAAAAGTGTAATTCTTATTATGTCTTTGGATCCTTTTTCAGTCTTTCCACAGTTATTTCAGTACTGAGCACAGTCGACTGCTGACGCTGTGGAGGCAAGTGGTCGGGTTTCGGAGGCATGTCTGTGAACTGAAGAGCGCCACAGAAAGGTCAACAATGTGTATGCTGTCTGCTAAATGTTGTTTCCTTTGTTCTGATTTAAAGTGTTGAGGATACTAACTTTGACCCTTCTTTGTCAATCTCTTTACAATCTCAGGGACTTGTCAGACATGCGTAACGAGATGTCTCGGGCGTCCCACTCTGCTCAGGTGTCTTGTGCAGGTCTGTCTTCCACCCTGAACACACGGGAGGGGGGAGCAGCGCTGAACCTGGAGAGAGAGAAAGCTCTGCGGGTTCAGCTGGAGCAGCAGCTGAGAGAACGAGTGTCCGAGATGATGAATCTCCAGACCAGGACAGACACAGAGAGGAGTGAGCTCAACATCAGGTCAGACTTGACTTTTTTAAGCTCTCTTACAGGTTTGATATATAATAAACAACATTCATATTAATGCTTTTGTATTGCCTCTCAGGTTATCAGAGTCAGTGCGAGAGGGGGAGAGACTAAAGGGACAAATTGAAGAGAGAGACAGAGAAATTGTTGTACATATGAGGAGGCTTGAGGTGAGAGGCTACTGTTTTTTTCTTATTGTCAAAAATTCAAAACACACATATATGGGCCACACTGTTGCCCTGGGTTACATGTTCCTTCATTACCATGAACACACACTGACTGCAGTTTATTTTAACTTCAGCCTGCATATACTGTCCTGCTGTGTAAATGCTCATTGTTGTTCCAAAGGTTTATCTATCCCCAGCTGTAAATAGTCCTCCGTTAAATACAGTAAATACTAGTGTATAAATAAAACATTTGCCAAAAACCACAATGCCCATCTGTTTAAGCCTTAAAACATCACATTTTATAATGTTTACCGGTTTTTAAGGGTTATACATGTCTTCTCGGAAACATTTGTACCACAAACAAAACTTAGGAAGTATTGAGAGAAGCACATTTGCATACATACATCTTTGCTTCTATCATCATGGTTTTTACTTTTTTTATTTATTTAGTGAAGCAACATTTTCAGCAGAGTTTGAACCAAAACATTTGTATAAAATGAGGTGTGGGGTGTGAGTATGAACGAAGCTGCAGGGAAGTCTAGAAGTAACAATATCTGACAGGGTAGGAAAAGCTTTCCTGGCTGGGGTAGCTTATGAAATCTCTTCGTCAAACTCATTTTGTGATTTTCTCTCCTTTTCCTTTAAGCCTGTAATGCGTTTCCAGCTGCATTAATCTTCCTCCTCCAGGTCACTGAGGTGTCTGTGCTTTATTTTGTTGCATTCAGGAACAGAGTGGTAACGATGAGACTGACATGCATGTGATGAGAGCTCACACTGCGACGCTGACAGACACCCTGCGAGACATCGCTCAGGTAAAAACTACGCAATGCAAATGATTTTATATCACACATTTGACAGTGCTTGATTTGAGCTTTTCTTCTTTAGACGGTGTTGTCTGATGGAGAGTCGTCATCAGAGGCGGACCAGGACAACTCTGGAGCTCCACTGCTAGCGTTGGTGCGGGGCTTCTCCCCCCACCGCTCCTCCTCTCCCCGCAGGTCGTCCTCCCCCTCTCGACCTTCCTCTCTGGCTCCCCTTTCTGAGGCGGGGCTGTCAGCTCTGTGCTCTGCAGTCGCAAACAAGACACTCCAGCTGCAGGTGACATGTCGATTATAAAGACAAGGCCAATTTGACATGTATTGAGATATTTTGAATATAAATAATGTATAGTCTAAGTTAATTAAGACTATAATAACACTGAGAAAAGAGACTACGCTTTTTAGATTGTTTAAGTCCCAACATTACCGTCTCAATGTAAGCAGCTATCCATTGGCAGGACTTAAAGGGTCACTTGGTTTTGTTTTTGTTTGCTCAGGCAATTAACCAATGTTATATCGATATTGTTATATGAGACATTGTTATTTAATTGAGTCCATATCTCTCAGCTCTTATCCAAACAGAGGCAAAAAAATGTTACCCGATTACACTGAATTTTAATTTCCCCAAATATTCCTACACAGAAAATTCAATTCAATTGAGTAGGAACAAACCTCAGCATAAACATCATCTAATACAAAATCAAAATGATCTACATGGATAGATATCTCGAGAGTTTTTGACCCCACTGTGTTTGCAGGATGTTCGAGGGCGCCTGCTCTCTGCTCAGTCTTCGGTTCATCAGTTGCGCAAGCAGCTTTCTGAGACTGATCTGGCAAAAAAAGATGGCGAACAGCGCAACCAAGCTCTGCAGAGAGAGAGGGATGCTGCTCAGAGAGAGAGGGAGACCACACAGAGAGAGAAGGAGCGTCTGAAGCAGGAGAGGGACACGCTGGCCAGGTTTACTCACAGTTATAACATTATTTTGACATTCTTGAAACTATATTCTTGAAACTATAACTCAACTCAAAACACTGCTCTCCCACATTATAAACATTGCAGTGAGAAGGTGAGCCTGGAGAAGACGGTGCAGACGGCACAGAGCAGCAACCAGATCCTGCAGATGGAGTGTGAGAAGCTCCAGCTGAGCGAGGCGTCCACACAGCGAGAGAGAGATCATGAGAGGGAGGAGAAGGAGGCCGCCACGCAGGAGAGAGAGCGGGCCAAGGCCGAGACTCAGAGGATGTAAGTGCGCTGACTAATAGTGATTAGGGAATGCGATGATTAATTAAATGGGTTGTGGGTAACACAGTGCATACCCACAAGAAGCCATTTACAAGATTTGTATTAACTTCCCATAGTGAGAGTTCTTCTTCAAAGCCACATACTTTTTTTAAATGTTAGACAAGCAAACTCATTTATTCTTTTTTACTTTTTGGACTCCTGTTAATGGGAGAAAATCAGAATGAAATCAATTGAAACGGTAAGAAATTAAATAGTAGAGCCACATCACCAACATATTTAGTCGTTTTTAATGCTTACAACTTCTGCTGTGTGTTTCATCTTTGAGCATACACTGTATTTCACATTTAACTTGGCCCTTAGGACTGCTGCCTAAACAGTACCTGCACACTGCAATAAGCAAGGCAAGTCATGTCTATGTACACATTCTAGCAACAAGACAAAAAGAGCTTTACTTAAAACATAAAAAGCAAAGAAAAAACTGCCAAAGAAACACATAAGAAAAGGACATTTTAATACAATTAAAAACTTCTATGAAAAAGCCAAGATAATAGAAAATATAACAAGCTGAAATGGAATAAGAGATAAAAGAAACAAGTGTAACAGCTTACTCTTTATTTGAAAGCATTACACACTGTAGCACACACACAGATCATTATCATCATCACTACATGTGCATGCATATTGTTTTTTTCAGACAAAAGCAGTTGGATCAGAGTGAGAGTCGGGCCTCCGCTCAGCGTGGGAAGCTGTCTGCAGTGAGCGAGTCTCAACAGCAGGTGGAGGTTGAGCGGCAGCTGCTGCAGCAAGAGAAAGCCCAACTGTCTGAAGCACTGGCTCGGGTAGGAAACATCAACTTGTGCTCTTTTAGCAGATTTTATATTCTTGTATTTGATTTGACTCATACGACCCTCATGTCCCTTCCAGGCTGAGGGCAGTAACGCAGAGCTCTCCCTGCTGATGAACAAGCTGCAGTCTGAGGACGCAGCTCTCAGAGACTCTCTGGCCAAGATGGCAAGCATGAACGAGGGACTGGCTCAGGACAAAACTGACTTAAACAGATACATTCTCAAGGTGAGATATTTTAGCAATGTATTTGACCTCTTAAAGGGTTCGGTATGCCTGAAATGAACTTAATTATATGATGTGTCCAGCCAACAAGGGAATGACCTCTTCCAAAGGACTTAGAGGTGGAGCAAAGGCATGCAATCATAGCGCCATTTGCTGTTTAACACTACGTCACTGTTATGATGGTCACATTAGTGGCAGATAATACAATATATAGACATTTATATGGACGTCTCAGCTCCTCATAGACTGACCATATCCTCTGTCTCCTAGCTGGAGGAAGAGAAGGCTCTGCTGCAGGCTCAGAAACGGGAGGCGGAGCAGGAGAAGTTGACCATCAGAGATGAACTGGTCCGGTTGGAGCAGGACCGGATGGAGCTGGACTCCGCCCGCATCATGCTGCATCAATCACTGCAGGAGGCAGAGCTGAGCCGGGGGGGGATGGAGGCAGAGCTCCAGACTCTCAGGACTGAGAGATTTAAGCTGCAGGAGAAAGTTACCCAGGTACATGACAGATTATATTATATCATAATTTAAAAGTCCATCCTAAAAACATAGGCAATATGAAATAATAATCCACAAACTAGGATTTCAAAAATGGTGGGAACTTTCAAATCGTTGAAACTCAAATATTGAACAGCCTTAACGATCCAGGAAATGGCGCTATGCCGCAATTGCTTCACATTTATCGCTGTTGTTTTTCTTTTGTAGTGGATTAAATGCAATTTAACCTGGCCATTTAGCTCAGCTCTAATGAAAACCATATGGGGATGTTTTTGAGTGTGCTAGTGAAAGAGATGGAAATTAGCTACTAGCTCAAATCTGGCATAAATCATATATTTTCTGAGATTAATGTATTTTTATGCATGGTCCTTGTTTAAATAAATACATAAATTGAAATTAAAAGATGTAAACATTATGGCCACTACTAAATGTTTTTACATACTTTTGAGACATAATACCTGGTTATAACAAAAAACATACTAAAACCACCGGTAAACTTAAACTCAAAGTAAATTACTGGGGAAAACCTATTCGAAATTCAAAACTATTATAACCTTGTTCCAGTTTACATATTTTTCTTTTATATTTAGTTTGTCGCTCTCTCTTTACTTTTTCGGTTCTTGTGGACAGCTTTGTGGCGAGGTGACCTCTCTGGGATCAGAGCTGAGTCTGGCCAGAGGCGAGGGCGAGAGGAACGAGGTGGCTTTAGAGGAGGTGGGCCGCGGGCGGGCAGAACTGACCCGAGACAAAGCTGCACTGGTGGTCCAGCTGACGGCGTCCGAGAGAGAAAACACGGTGCTGTCAGAGGAGCTGGCTGCTTTCAGGTGTGTGTTGTCCATGGTCAATGACACATGGATTTTCACATAAATGTGTGTTTTATGTGTAACCTGTGTTTGTAACTATGCAGGTCGGAGCGTGAGTCCCTGGAAACCAGCCTGTTCGAGGTGCAGCAGCAGCTCCTTCAGGTGGAGTCTCGCAGAGAGCAGCTGGAGACAGAGAACCAAAACCTTCGAGTTCGCTGTGAGACCGCAGCAGGTGAGTGACCTAGTATGAAGTAGAAAACGTTGAGAGCTCAGGTGAAGATGTTCTATACAATGGTGAGGGAGTAACATGACAGAATAAGAACCTGATGGTCCCGTGTTTACCTCATCTGGATTATTTCTCAGCTGACCTGAAGCGTGTGCGCTCCGATGGGGAGAATATGTCGGTTCAGGCTGAGCGGGAGAAACAGGCTCTGAAGCAGACCCTACATGCTGCACAGCTGGAGGCCCAGCAGGCTTTACGCAAGGCCATCTCTGAACACCAGGAGGAGTCGGAGAGACTGGTCTCAGAAAAGGTCAGAAGCTTATGTGGTTCACAGTTACCTGAAGCACTGCCAGATTATTTGACTTTTTGGATGAATCTAATAATTCTATGTTTGGCTGCTCTGCTCCACAGGAAGTGGTGCGGCAGAGCCTGCTGAAGGAGCAGGAGGGTGCTCTGAGGAGGCTCAGACAGGAGACGGAGGAGCAGCTCCACAGAGCAGAGAGAGAAAGAGAGGAGCTGCAGGGAGAGCTGAGGAGTCTGCAGCACGACCGAGATCAGAGCCTGCTGCAGGCAGAGAGCGAGAAACAGCAGGTCTGAGCAACTGTGGAAAACCCATCTAATAAATATTATTACTGTCATTTTACCAATGAACAAGAAACAATACAATTATTGTAAAGTATTCAAATCAGAGTTAAAATGTATAATTACATTAATAGTAGTAAAATAGCGTGAAATTAAAACTAGATTATACAATTTAAATACAATAAAGAAAAGTATTTAAATAATAACAATAAAATAGAATAACATTTTCAAGTTGAAACAAAAACATTTTTTTAATTCTGTCTATAAACCATTCCTAATCAAAGACTTAACTGGAAATGTAGGTTTAAGTATGCTTTTAAAATGTTCAATACTTCCAGCAGTTCTCAGACCCTCAGGCAGTTGCAGCAGCTCGGATCATAGGAGCTAAAATGTGACTCATTAGATACATTTTAGATAGATTGTGGCTCAGCTCCGGTATAGCTGCTCCTCAGCTTTGTTAACCAGGTCTTCTCTCGCTTCTCAGGCCCTTTCTCTGAAGGAGGCAGAGAAAAGTGTGTTGTCTGAGAGGACGTCCTCCCTGCAGGCGGAGCTGTCAGTGGCAGGCCTGGAGGTCGAGCGGATGTCAAGAGAAGCCTCTCTTTCCAAAGAGCAGGACCAGGTGATTGTGACTTCCTGTCTGAATTTATATTCTGTGGATCTTTGAATTATCTCCTGTCCTATCTAACATTGTAGTTACATGCGATCATAATTACATCACCCCCCATCTGTCAATAGTTCATTTTTGTTTGTTTCCCACAGTGAACGCCCACAATATTGCAATAATCCAAACAGGACCCTCAAACGAACTGAACAGGTGAAATCAACCTAAAGGAAACCTATAAGTTTGTTTTAATGAATAGAAAGGCAGATTTACCCTCTGCAGATTGCTTTGTCAGGTCTGCATCATCATAGCATAAATAAAAAGAAAGCCGTGTCTCTCCCGCACACTGGCCGCCATGTGACCCACTTATAGTGTGCCGTTAGTTTAAGTGTTGGATTTTTTGAATATTGTGGGCATTCACTAAATGAACCACGTTTAAATGAAGTGGGTAGTAATGTAATTCTGACAGCTCGTTGCTACAACGCAATAGAGAAGATTTACTAAACTGACTTTGTTGACGTTTTGCCTTTTTACTCAGATTAGAGTCGGGGCTCTCACCAGCGAGCTGCTGGAGATTCGCTCTCAGCTGGAAGACGCAGCTTCTGTTCATGAAAGGGAACTCCAGAGTCTGAGGGAGACTTGTGCTGACCTTCAGTCTCGCACTGATGTGGCTTTCAAAGAGGTAGATGATGCCGTACAAGTGGGAATGAATGAGAGTGATGCAGTTCAAATCAGAGAGCACATACCTCCACCAAGGCTGCACAGACCTTGTTATTTTAATAAGAGACAGTTACGATTTTTGTATGCATTTATACATCTACAAACACAGTGACAATCATATGCTGTGTTATTTCAATGAAGTGTGTGCAGGATATCATGAAAAAAGGCTCCGTTCTGAAGAAAATGTGCTTACTGCCGAAACATTTCCAGTTATAAAAAATGATGAGCAAGTTCTGCAATAAATGATATACAAATACTGAAAGGATTTGAAGATTTAAAAGAAATATCAACAAACATACAAAAACAGCCCTGTGTAAAACATCAGTTCATTTCAGTTTAGGTTTCAGCTCAAACGTTAGCGCAATAATCAGTTAAATTCATTTGAAACCAAAGTACCCAAAAATGGGTGGTATTGAAGGGAGATATTAGTCAAAAGAAAGATGCAGGTGAATTTTAAGTTAAAGAATAAGAGAATAATGAACTATCTTAAAAATTGGTCATTTAAAAAAAAAGAAGGGCTGCTGTTGCTTCATTGCAACAACATACATGAAGTAATAGACAATTAGACATGCCCTATCTTGCATAGTGAATACAGTTTTGATTGTCACTTGACCCAGATGTGGCAAGCCCAAGCCTTGCCCCAGATGTAACATGTAAAGACAATCTGTTATCGACAAAACATAAATCACACCTTCGTGTGGGCCTGAAGGGATAATTCACCTCAATTTGAGTTTAATTGGTTACACCACATTGTACCACACATTACTTCCCCCCCCCCCAGCTGGACCAGTGCAGAGCTTCTCTCGCAGCTAGCCAGGAGAGTCGAGACCAGCTGAGGCGGGACCTGTTGGACAGCGAGCGGCGTTTCAACCAAACTCAGGACGCTGCAGAGATCATCAGAAGAGACGGGACGGAGTTCCGGCGCAGCCTCACTGACGTCACCAAGGAGAGAGACACACTCGGCCAGTCCAATACTCATCTGAGAGAAGCTCTACGAAGTGCAGAAACAGAGAGGATCAGGTAAATTATCCAGTGACAAATGCAATTTTCCGTGTCAAATAATGTGACTGTGTCTGAGTCTGGGTTTGGTTTTTCAGTGTGAAACGCCAGTGTGAGGAGAAGGAGCAGAGGGTGGCTGTGCTGGAGGGAAACCTGTCCTCCACTCAGAAGGAGGTGACGGAGCTGCGCAGCTGCCTGAGGGAAGTCGAAAGGTCACGACTTGAAGCTCGGCGAGAACTCCAGGAGCTCCGCAGACAGGTTGGACCCCCCCGCCTTCAGACCTCTGTGACTGTGTAGAAAGAAGCTTTGTTCTCAGTCTAGCCTTCACATGCGTGACTGTGTTGTGATCCTGTGCTTGTCTTGGCTCCAGCTGAAGGTTCTGGATGCAGAGAAGGAGGAGAGAGGGAGGGAGGTGGCCGAGCTGCAGACTCGCCTGTCGCTGGAGGAGCAAAGAGAGGAGGAGAGAGGGAAAGAAGTTTTTATCCACAAACAGAAGTTAACTGAAGCTGAAACAGCTCGAGACTCCCTCAAGAAAGAGGTGAGGCTGCATTAGAGGGTCAACCTTTCTTTGCCTACTTGCTCTCTTCACTGTCATACTATTTCTAATACTTCTGTTTTTCGATGTAGCTCTCCTTGACTCATAAGCGTCTGCTGGAGTCTGAGTCAGGATGGCGAGGCTGTGAGAGAGAGCTGACGGCTCAGCTGCAGGAGGCGCGAGGCTGCGAGAAGAAGCTGCAGGATGAAGCCAAGAACCTGGCCCTGCGCGCTGCGGCGGCTCAGGACTCTGCGGCTCAGAGCAGCCTGCAGCTGAGCGAGGCTCAGGGCCGACTGGCCGGCACCGAGGCCGAGCTGACCCGGGCCGAGGCCTCCAGGAGGGACTTGGAGTATCGTCTGAGCAGCCTTCAGTCGGCGCTGACGCGGACGCTGACGCGGACGCTGGCATTGGGGCTGGGGGCAAGGGGGGGCCGGGGAGGAGCCCGAGGGGGGGAGCGCCACATCACCAGGCACTATGTCGCGCCACCACAGCATCTCACCTCTCAGGTCGTCACTGACGCCTCCGAAAGGTTAGAATGAAGCATGCAGCTTTAACTCTGCAACATAGGCTTCAGATTTGTATAAAACATCTTAACCACATAGTAACCAGAAAACTAATGATATCTTAGCATCATTATTTTTGAAGGGATTGTCATTTATACATTTTTTCTTTTTCAGTAGATGAATGAGATAAGATACGATGGAGCTTTATTAATCCCTGTGGGGAAATTCAGTAGTTTAAACGGCAACAGGATAAGATTGAAAAACAGGACAGCACAGATTCACACAAGATTAAAGATTTATAAAATGTAAGTTAAAATGAAAGATCAAATTTAAAATGATATACAGTTACGTCACTTTTAGAATTGAATGTAAAGATGTAAAGCATAGGAAACTATTCCAGTGAGCAGTAACTCGTATCCAGTATAATGTGATCAGTCCCTTCTTTAGATGCTGAACGTCTTTATCAAAACGACTTGGTGTATGGAACTATTTTTATTTAATTTTCACAGAGTTTCGAGGAAGCACTCCTGACAACACCTTGAGCTCAGTGTCTCCGGAGAGAGGGAACACACCGCTGCCTGGTCCTCAGCATGAGCTGGACCCCGACACACTGCGAAGTGATTTGAGGGACTTCCTGCTGGAGCTGCGTGAGGCTCAGAGAGAGAGGGTAACGGGAAGTAAATATGAATAATAATCTAAAGAATTGTTTTCTTTTCCGAGTGGTTCAAGTCTATTTTATTGCTGCATTTCAAGGATGACGCTCAGTGCCAGCTGGGGGCCGTGCAGCGGGAGCTGGAGGAGCTGAGGCTGGATCGAGACTCTGCTCTGGGTCGTCTCACTCACCTGCAAAACACCTGTCAGGAACACCAAGAAGGTTCATTTTCCATGTAGTTTCAGAAGTAAATCCCTTTACCAAAAAAAGAAAGCAGAAATGCAATGAGTGTTAATGTTTGCAGGGAAGCGTGGACTGGACGAGCATCTGACCACCACTCAGATTTTGCTGCAGCAGCAGGAGGAGGCGGTGAGGAGAGGGGACAGAGAGAGGAGAGCTCTCAGCGACAGAGTGAAGGATTTAGAGCGAGCGCTGCAGGCCTCTGAGCAGGATAAAAAACATACGCAGGTACACACACCATGTATCCGTACTTTCATGATCACCAGAAGGCGGTGCTCAACAGTGGGTCGTTATGTAATGACAACAGACGCAGTGTCACACCTCTCACGCTGTCAGCCCACCATATGTCTGTTTTTAATGCCAGCGAGTTTGAAAATACTTCACCATCTGGACAACAGGAGGAGCAGGGACACAAAGTGAGAGCGAGGGAAAGACAGCCAGAACTATGTATAATTGGATGATATTGAAAGAAATGTATATTTGCTACATATTTAAAAAGGATTATTTCTAAAGAGACCTAAAGTTACAGCTGTGGCTCCTCTGTGTGTGCTTTGTATCTGTTTGGCTGTGCATGCCTCTATTGTCTGAGTCTAAATGTACCCCTGCCCCCCCCCCCCCTCTCTCTCTGCAGGATCAGTTGAATAAGCAGCGTGCGGCTGAGATGCGTCTGGAGGCCGAGAGGCGTCGTCTGCGTGAGGCGCTGGAGGCAGCCGAGGCCCGAGCCACCAGGGTGGAGCTGGCGAGGCGAGGCCTGGAGGGGGAGCTGCAGAGACTCAAACTGAGTGTGGGGGACCGGGAGGCGGACAGCCAGGCCGCCTTGCAGCACCATGAGGCTCTCCTGAAACAGGTACGGCGGGCTGACACACAGTGCTGTTATCTCAAAGCCCTGAGTGCTATTTTTGTATTGTATGTTATATTTTATGTGCCCCAATACTTACCAGGCCATTGTTTATTGTGGAAATACTGCATATTATGTGTCTGTTTTTCCCTAAACATGTCCTAATAACCACCTTTTCACTACAGAGAACTGTGAACAAATACTAATATAAGGGAAAGAGACATTGTTCTGTTGATTTAATCAATTAAAGACAAGTGCCCTACAAAGTTATTTGCTCAGTACACAGCCGGTCATCTAAAGTTTAAACAATGTGAAATAAGAATAATAACGTTTTAATTAACAAAATAATTACTAATACGTGTTGAAAAGCATATCAAAATAAGAATTACACTATTAGATAGTCAAAATGAAACCAGATAAACTGATACACTAGCAATCCTCAAGGCCTAATATCTGCCATCACAATATTATGATATGCATACTAATATCATGATAACGATATTTCATTAAATCTAATTACAGTTATTCTTAATGCTATTATATCAGGATGCGGCCACTTTAAATAAAGTTGTTTTTAAGGAAAAAGTGATATTACAGTATGCAGTCAAGCTAGCTGCTCTGTCAGGCTAAAAGTCAACATGCTAATGTTTATGGCCACCATGTCAGTTTGCCAATTAGGACTAGAGGCAAAGTTATCTTCTGTTTGTTGGTTTGCTGACTGGATTACATCTGATTGTATGCCTGCAGGTGGCAGAAGGAGAAGCCCGTGTGTCTCTGCTGCAGAGAGAGGTGGAGAGGCTGAGCCAGGCTCTGCTCAAAGCTCAGGAAGGAGAGTCTTTACTCAAAGAGACGACCTCTTCCCTCAAAAAGACCCTCCTGGAGGCTTCATCTTCTCACAGCAGCACACAGAGTCGCCTGAACGCTCTGCAGAAGACGCTGAGCGTGGCTGAGCAGGACAAAAGGCTTCTACAGGTGAGTGAGACGGAAGGGAAGCGTTGGACAAAGTGGAAGACACCCAGAGAGAGTTGTGATGATTATTTTGTGCCACTCAGGAGCGGATGGATGAAGCCCGGGCGGCACTATCGGAGGGCAAAAGGAACGTGATCATCCTCACTGAGCGTGTGCAAAGTTTGCAGAGTGAGCTGGAACAGAGCAAGCTGAGGCGAGAAGAAGCGGAGGCCGAGCTCAACAACACTCAAAAGGTGAGCGAGACGATGTGAGGGCAAATATCTGCAATAATAACGTCCTCATCAAAACATGACAAAAGGAACAAATGAACTCAGTTTACCAACGCTCACAATGTGACTGCTTTTCCTACTTCTCTGGAGTCATGTCTCTCCATGTGATCTTTCCCTCCCTCAGGCTCTTTGTCAGCGCTCTGTCGGTGTGGCAGAGGCTCAGCGCGGCGCCCAGTCGGCTCAGACAGAGCGGGCCGCAGTGGAGGAGCGGCTGCGTGGGCTGCAGCGAGCCGTGGCCATGCTCGAGACCGAGAAAAAAGATGCAGAGAGACAAGCTGTGAGGCTGGAGAAAGACAAGGACGCACTGAGGAACACACTGGATAAGGTCAGCGCTGCACAGTGGCTTGTGCTCAACAAATGTGACAAATATTTGCATTCAATCGTTTCTTTGTGAGTTCGAAAATGGTTTATGGACACATAAAGCTTTGTGATCCCATTGGGTCGAAGTGAGCATGGTGAAACTTGATACTAGAGTCATAAAGGAAGAGGACATGTTAACATTGACCAAAACCCACATATATGCAATCGTTTTGGTTTAGGAGCAATTAAAGATAATATTGTTTGGTGATTGATGGAGACAGGATTTTCTTTTTTACACAAGACAATAATTATTGGCTCCCTAGGACCTCATTTGAGCTTGCCTCAGTTTTTTAGCATATGAAAACGTTCTTCATACATAAAAATACAAATATTCACCTGAAACATAAAGAGTCTGCAGCCATGCCAGCTGTTGTGAGGATGTGATTTTTATGTAGGTGTTCTCAAGCTTTTCTTACCACCCTTCTCATCAGGTTGAGCGTCAGAAGCTGAAGACTGAGGAAGGCAGCATGCGGCTCTCTGCGGAGAAAAGCCGCTTGGACCGCTCTCTGAACACCACTGAGCAGGAGCTGCAGGACGCACAGCAACAGATCCTGATGCTGCAGGTGGGGATCAAACCTACACTCACACACTCGTCATATGTCATACCTGCTGGTTTCCAGTGTGTACTAAAGGCAAAAGCTTAGCCGCTTCCCACCTCTAAATGTTACTGAATAGTCCACCATGTATAACTGATGGAGAAACAGCGCAAACCTTTTACAAACATCTTTAACATGACCTATTCATTTCATAGTTGTGGCTTTATATGTTTTTGTAGAGTTATGTAGGGCACTTGTTATTTAAACCGTGAACATCCTTTAATAAATTCAGTGAGGACACAGGGATCCACTTAGTGTAAACAGTCTTTTAAATAGGGGTTTTATGGAGATAAACATCACATTTACTGCAGTAAATGTCACAAGACAAGGCTAGCTTGTGCCTCACTGTTACATTAGAAGGATTAGATCAATTAATAACTCAAACCTTTTATAACTGCGTGAAATAAAACATTTATTTTGACCTTAATTCTAATTAGTAGACACACAACTTTAGAATGTTCTGTTAATGTCAGTTTTACTTAATAACCTCTTCATCTCCAGATACATCTGCTTCTTGTTACACATCAAACTTTCCCATTCAAGATCTGTTTTTCTTTATCTCTGCACCATTTATTATTCTCAGTGTTTCACTCTAAAAACGAAAGGTTAGACCAATCCCGGTCATAACGACTTACCACAGACACACCATAAACACGCAAATAATTAAAGCTATGTGGGGTTTAGAAAGAATTCCGTAAAAGTAATTAAACTTGTTTATTTCAGGCTGATTTTACACCTCGGACCACGGTTAATTTATCTGAATTTAGTTAGATATTGCCCAGGCTGCAGAGGAATTCATGTACCAAAACCCTCAAGATATTGCAAAAAACTCCATTATGTTTGTACAACTTCAGAGGTGATACAAACAAAAAAAGTTCTACAAAAGCTGTGGAAAGTAAGAAAGAGAAGTGCAGCTTGTGTCATTGAACCTATAAACTACAAGCTATAGGCCTGTGGGAGGTTTCTCTACCGAGGGGTCATTAGCTATTTGTTAAAGGACCTTCTCCAGACCAATAAACATCACAGGTGTTAGTTTTGTCTCAGTGACGTAACCAACAACAGATTTGTGATGTTTACGCATCTATAAAAGTTCCAGCTAGTCTACTTTATTACCCAAGTTAAGTTATATGATAGGCATCCTTTCCAATCCTACCAAAAACGCTCCTTTAGGCCTTCAAAAGGGAGCTACAATTACTTTAAATAAAGTGCAGCATTTAACCATTTATTTTCAGCTGGTGGATCATCTTTACACCAAACTCTTGCGAAGCTTTTTTGTAGGCTCAAGTTACATATTCTTTGTATGCCCTCTTTAATATTCCCTATAGGTATAGGTTGGAAAGGAATATTTCATAATGGCTTTTATACCTGCATTTCAACGTACCAGAAGGGCTTTAGTTAAGTGTTTTTCCAAAAGGCATGAGTATGGTATTCCTCGATGAGGACACAGAGCCTTGATCAAGGCTGTTGGGTAACTGGATGTCTGCTTTTGATCCAGAGTTTTATAAAGAAGCGAAGTCTCTCCTCCGTTTTTATAATATAAACTGTCCTGAGTTAATCTGGCCGGCCTATTTGTCCTTCTCCTTTGTGTTAACATTTGGCTGTGTGTGTGCGTGTGTGTCTTGAGTAGACTCAGCTGGCTGAGACGGAGCAGTCACAGAATCTGTGTGAGAGTTTTGCGAGGCAGCGGGACGAGGCCCAGCGGGAGGCGGAGAGACTCAGGACGAGCTTCAGGGACGTGGAGCGCACGCTGGGCACCAGAGAGCGAGCTCACCGACACAGAGTGAAGGGTCTGGAGGAGCAGGTAACACATCATGGTGTAGTCAAAGTCCTTCTCATATTAAACATTTTCCTTCCCTGCTACAATGAAATAGCTGGTTTGGGTGTGTAGTATTAAATGTAGTAATTCTACATAAATGAGGGATTTAAGTATGTCTGTCCGGCACTAGAGGTGTTTTGAAATAGGATGTCGGTTTGTGCCAAATCACAATGAAACAAAGGAAAAGAACAGAAAGTCCTGGAAAATGTACAAAAAGCAAATAATCCAAATGATAACCTAAATTACTCAGCCTTACTGCAGGTTGCTACCACCAACAGCACTCACAGACTCTTAAACAGTACAGGCCTTCTGTTCCCACCCTAAATTGGACAAAACCACTGCATGGGACTAGCTAAACCAGCGAGAGATATTCCCACTAAAACCTGATCCTTAAAGGAACATGGCAAGCTTTTGATTGCGAAAAACATTTAAAGGTGAGCAACTAACTCTTCCCTTATGTGATGGATGTTATGCTCCATGACTAGGGATGGGTACCGAGAACCGGTACTAAGTCAATACCGGTACCTGATTGGACGGTATCGGTATACCGTTAAGCCGCTGGACAAACGGTGCTGCTATCGGTATATCTGTTACGTCTACTTCCTTAGTTTAACTTTAAACCATTCTGGTTGGTTGGGAACCCTCATCCCGTGTGATGTATCCGGTTTGAGACCCCTGATTGGCCACTGTAAATGCCACTCCTCCTCTCTCTCAACAGCGCTCTGTGCTAGCGGGCTTCAGCCGCGCCGTGTGTAAATGTGACCTGAGCGAAGGCTCGCAGGCAGGTTAGCTGCTGTGCACGAGTAATATGTTTTGTTTACCTGGGTGCAGTCTTGCAGGCACATCGCCTTGTCTTTTTTTTGTTTATTAACACCAAATTATTGAAAAGTATCGATAAGAGTATCGAAAAATACCGATAAGTAGTACCAGTACCGGTATCGATAAAATCCTAACGATACCCATCCCTATCCATGACTAACCAACAGTGTCTGGCAACACAAGAGGAGGAAGACCCTCCCCTTCCTCTGTATACAAATTGCTAAAGACAACAATAACACTGGTAAAAAGGAAAGGCCAAATCAGAAGAGGGAGGACATGTTGGGATCAGGGCTTGTGAAAAGGTCAAAAGGAAACCGTCTCACAGTGTAAAATTTAGTTTTGTCACCATCTGTATCTCTGCAGGTGTCCACCTTAAAGGAGCAGCTGCAGCAGGAGATGAAACGGCGACAAACTTCTCTTCCTCCCTCCTTATTGTCGGCAGGAAAGTGAGATCCAGAATAATACCAGAAGCACCAGCACATCACGTCCAGGGAAAATCCACTAATCACGAATGTCTGAAAGCAATGTTTACTCACTGATACGATCCTGAAAGTCTTCATAATCTACTGTTTAACTTGTTTTACTTTGTGACACTATCATTTCGATGGTGATTTATTGATATTTTGTACAGTGAAAAACACTTTTACCAGTCGTGCAGCACACATTCAGCTCATGTCAGGCGATGTGATTCAGCAGCTGGGCTGAAAACGCCAGCCTTCCGATGATTACTGGCAACCATCTGTACTTGATCCTTGCCCAACGTCCTCCCAAACGTCCTGCTTTTATTCAAGAAGAAAAACCAAACCACTGCAAAGGAGTCTCCTCCAGACACAATCTGGATGTAGTGCAGGAACAAAAGTCTGCCAGTTGTGCAGTTTGGCCTCAATTTCTCCACATTTATATTAACAGTCAAGGAGCAGCGAGGTCTACACTGTGTGCAAGGGCCAGGAAACAGAATTATGAAGGAGCTGCACTGTATTTCCATTGAGAAACAGGCACATATTTTTCGATAGTTTTATAACAAAAAAGGAGACCATAAGGCACTACATATGAAGGTATGCTTACAGTACATGTTTCTAAAAGTTAATATTAGTTTTACTAGATGTATTCTTTGTACTTATTGTATAAATGCTGACAGGCTGATGATGAATAACAGCTATATGACTTAAATAAACTCACCGTGTGCTCCATCATTCACGTCTTTCAGTGCTCTGAGCTTCCACCTCAGATGAAATTACAGCGATGACTCAATCACACACATTGAACAGATGTAGTAAAAAAAGTTTATTTTTTTTCTCAGTCTTTATAGTGACTGTTTTCTGACAGTTTTACAAAGTAGTAGTACAGAGGCCGTTTGTGAGATGCCTTTTGAACGCACTTGTTGCCACTGAAGTATTTGTTTGTAAGCTTGCTGCTCGGTTGCCAAGCACAGATCCAGGTGGCAGTAGTACAAACACTGAGGTCTCTCAACACGCATCTCATGATCTACCATGGCTGGATATTCATTCGTTTTTCTGATGTCAGTGCACAGGGGCCCCCACTGATGGGTTGCTCATCATGAGACTGCTTTTCCACACAAGTACAGTAACATAACAACAAACACAAAGCATGAGATTAATACGGTACAATATGCCAAAAACAAATAGAAATAAGATGTTCCGCAGTCTTATGTGCATCTCTAATCGTTTTTATAGCACCAGTGTGATGATGTTATAGCACCAGCAATTTATACAATCATCAATGTTCTTTGGAGTATATTCATCCATACACACAGGATCTACTGGGCACACATACATAGTAATAGACAAAGATAAACACAACAAAAAAGTGCTTTTCGCACAGGAGTAATAATTGGTAGGCCTACAGGAAAGAGTCAGAAGGTAAAGTCAGGAGAAAGTGGGAGCAGGAAGAGGATAAGGAGGGGTTGAAGAAGAAGAAGTGGCAGTATCTGGGCAGGTAGTGTCCCTGATCTCTGAATCCATCAGCAGCCACCGCAGCTCTTCCCGCAGCTTCCTCCTATCGATGAGCACTGACCGCTCAGCGCCGCCACACCGCAGCGAGAGAACTGATCACGACACATGTCCGCTAAACACAGAGACCCAGAGTTAAGAAGGAAACATATCTACTCTTCTAAAAGCAAGACTTAAAATAACAAAAAAGTCTTAAAGGTCCCCTATTATAGGTCTCAGATATATACAAAACATGTCTCTGAAGTGTATGGCTCGAAATACCAAACGGCATCCCATAAACCCCTCTGTTTCAGCCTTGTTTCAAAAGGGCTGATTCTGTGTCTGTAGCTTTAGATGAAAATAAGGCTCCACTCCCAACACCCCTCTGAGACATATTTGGTTAAAAAGAACACAATGGTGCTCTAGTGCCCCTTTCACACCAACGCGGTTCCAGGGCCGGTTCGGAGCCTGATAAGCACCGGTTTTTCCTGTTCACACCGCAGCGGAGCCAGCTCTAAGCACCGAAAACCGGTGCTTACCAAGCACCAAAAAATTGTCGGTCTAGAAGCAAGAACTGCATACGTCACGCTTACGGCGGGGGCAGGGGCGGTATCAACCTGAGCAATAACAATTTATGGCGAGTAGGCTTACGGCAAATGAAAGTTGTAACAAGCAGTAGCGCTGACCAAAGTGACTAGAAAGCAACCACACAATTATTTAAAAAAAACACACTTTATAAAGTCAGGCAACACTAACCAGGCTTCTTGTGATTCTGTTTATTTGTACCTTACTTTGACCATCCGTTCGCTGTTGTTGATCATTGTGGAGGGCAGGCAGACGTTTTGTTTTGTATTATAATAACAGCTATCAGATGGAATCAATACATGGGCTGCACAGGTTGTCATGTCCGACTATCACAAGTAGAATCATAATGAAAAATATGCCGGTAAAATGTGCCATTAGAAAACGGCTTATGCCACAATAGGATAGCAACAAGTAGTCAATATATCGTAATTTTCGGACTATAAGGCGCACCTGAATATAAGCCGCAGCAGCGGCATACCACTCTCGGTTCCACTTTTACTTTTGCGCGCTACCTGTCTCACTCTTTTCCGGCCTCCAGCTTTTCCTGCTGGAACCCGCCGCTTAAAGGTGGGGGTCCGCGGACCGGCCATAGAGCCCATAGAGTTAAAGGTGTTGGCCGTTAGCTGTAAAGATCCATAGATTAGCCGCACCGTTATATAAGCCGCAGCGTCGAAAAATGGGGAAAAAGGCGCGGCTTATAGTCCGAAAATTACGGTAATTTGATAATCGATTAATCAAACGA